GCAGAAGATTGCCTCGGATACGATGTCAACAGGAATGTACCAGTAACGCTAATTGACAGCCGATCATGAGGAATCCGACGTCGTCTTCTGGTGGAATTCAACCGGCAAATCTCTTCATCGAGCACGCATTTCTTTACTCGAAATGAAAGTAGGCTCCATACAATTTTTAACATTTGTTGAACTGGTACGCTGAATTGTCCAGATTCCGCTCCTATTTTGAACGTGTTGATGCGTCAAGCATGAATTGGAATCTCTTTCTGGAGGCAAGGTCGAGTCAGTTTCTCTTGCGAAGATTCCACCTTAAGCGACCTGGAATGCCTACAAATCTTCATAAATGCAACTCTGTCTGTTACACTTTTTGCAGAACTATCTCTGTCTCGTACCCTCCTGCCTAACTGGGTCTTGGAAACAGCCAATAACACGTCGGCATACCTTCCATTTCATCTGAAAATGTGGATGGAAGGTATCCGGTGAATGACCTCGAAGGGACACGGAAGGAGGCTTGGTCCTACGAGCCATCAAAAGTCGAACCGGGTTGGGGCAGAAGGTGAGCTTGACACGGTAACCACTCGGCCACTGCTACGAGTGCCCTTGGGTCACAGGGCAGATGTGAATTTCAAGGAAGGCCAGCCCTTTTGCCATATCATATTCTTTGGTGGGATTGTTGATAAAGCAAACGTATATTTACCATAACAATCGACTATGTTACTTATTTTTCGTATTTAAGTAGAGTTTTGAGAATCCCAGTAAATCAGTATGTTTCGTTTAAGGTGATCAATTTCACATCTGCTCTGTGACTCAAGGTCACTCGTAGCATGTGGCCGAGTGGTTAACGTATCAAACTCACCTTGTGCACTGTCACGGTTCGACTCCTGATGGGGGTGTTGATAAGACCGATGCGAGGTCGAAACTGCAGTCCATATATTTGGAATATTTAACTCACTCCAGAAACCAGGAAACGATGATTTCTGTTTCCGAGCAGGCCGATCGGATGGCCCAGGTCTTCTCCACCCAATCCGGCAATCGCCACTTCCAGACAAACCGCCTTTGATGTCCGGAGAGAGACGAACTAACAAGTCCATGTCACCCACCTTGTCGAAAGACTACATGAAAGATACATCATCACCAACCTATTGAGCGATTGTTAAGGACGACTCAGCGTGTATTCGCGGCCAATTGCATCCATCTTATTCATACCGACTCCACGCCCTTGTAAGCCTCTCTTCTTGCTTCCACTTTGCAGGTCTTTGCGTCACCTTCCTTGAGCCCTGTGCCCTCTGTCAGATGTACCAGCAGGCCGGAGAGGGCATTTGCGCCAGCTGTATCGTGCCAGGCGCGCCGATGGTGCTGAGGACGCAGCATCGCGAGCGATACCAAATTGAGGTGAGATTTGCATCAAGTCGTTTTGACATGTCGCTTAAAGAGTGGCGCCCCCGAGGCAGGGACAAAGAGTTGCAGTAGCATTACATGAAGCAATGGTGGGTGTCAAGGAGGCCCTCAGGGGTGTAGGGAGTGGTGGTAGCCATCATTTCCTCCGAATGGAGGGTATAGGAAGAGAGCGGTTCGAGTGAATGGCCTCCTCAACGCCTGAAGCAGGAGGCGACT